TAGGATGAATGTTTGTACTAGTGTATTAAAACCACAATCAGGTAGACAGCTTAAAATGATTTTACTTCCATGTGTTATATTTAGGCCAAAATCAAGCTCTAAAGGATTGTTAAATTTTCAAAAAACTAGCCATGTCTCCGTGATACCCAAATAAAGAGTGCTGATAAAAGTTTATGCTTAAGATCCTATATTTCTTTGAAAATACCTCTTTAAACTATGATTTTCTCTCACAATTAAAATATTTGGATTGAAAATTCTAAATATTTTTCATTAACATAAAGACAACAGATTCAAAATTATTCAGTTATTATATTTATTTCTTATGGATATAAACTTTTTCAAGTAGTAAATTTTAATTTGATTAAAAAGAATAATCTTAAAACTATAAACATCATTAAATACTTCATGCTTACTTTTTGCTCTCCTGTATTTTCTTGATAAAAGTAAATGAATAAACTTTTTTTAAAATAAAAACACATGTAAAGGAAAAGTTTGGAGAATATTCTAATTTCATTTTAGCTAATTTTTGTTCATTGTTAAGCAATACACACATAAAGAAAAATAATGTTTTTTTAAATTGGCTGCCTTCTATTATCTTTAGTATAAAAATTAAGCATGTGCAGATGATCTATGGAGCAAACTAATTTATGATAATGATTTTAAAAGCAAGTACTGTGTTTCAGTTTGTAACTTGTCTCTGGAAACAATATATTTATACATTTATGTCTTGCAAATGATGAGTACACTCAATGACTGCATATGATAAGTATGATGCAACGTCTTTGGAAAAACTAACTTTCCACCAATGAATCAGGTCATTGGAATAGCTCAAATTTTATCTTATAAAACCAGGTTTGTTACTTTTTCCCCTTCAAAGCCACTCTTCATCCTGTCTTTCTTCTTTTGTGAATTTCAGCCGTGGTTTCTGTTTCTGTTCACGCATCTAGAAGACATTCACACTCTCTGTCTTAAACCTATCCCTTAGCCTTAGCAAGCTCACCAGATTTCAATTTCCTTTAATTCTTTCTCCAATCTGTCCCTATCTCCCCCACCTGAATATTCCTATCCTGGTTCAGGCAGTTGTCGTCTATTCCCTGGACTACTCTGGCTTCTCAGCCTTTGATGTCTCCATAACATCCCTCATTCAGACTGCTGCCAGAGTTTTATTCACTGAATCACTGTCTAGCTTTAAAAAGGAAAAAAAAAAAAAGAATCTTCAAAGAAAACCAATTAACAGCAGAATAAAGTCCAAAGTTATTTTTCGTGGTATTTAGGGCATTTAAAACACCTTTCCAGACTCCCTGAGTAACAGTAACTGATGACTACTCATTTTTGCAGTAGCCTTCTCCGGGTGATACACTATACAAAGAATATAGCAGGGTGACTGAGAGCAGTGGTTCAGAAACAAAAGAGCCTGGGATTGAAAGTAACCAGTGACTTAAGACGCTGTGTATGATTTCAAGTCACACAACACTTCTGTTCCTCATTTTTTCTGGGACCATACTCAAGAACTTTTTGTAGGAATAGAATTAAGCTAGAAAAGGGTTCAGAAAAAGAATTGAAAGCCAAGGAAATATGTCTATATATGGTATAGTAGTATATAATTCAGTCACTCACTTGTGTCCAATTCTTTGCATCCCCATGGACTGCAGCATGCCAGGCTTCCCTGTCCATCATCAACTCCCGGAGTTTACTCAAACTCGTGTCCATTGAGTCGGTGATGCCATCCAACCATCTCATCCTCTATCATCTCCTTCTCCTGCCTTCAAACTTTCCCAGCATCAGGGTCTTTTCCAATGAGTCTGTTCTTTGCATCAGGTGGCCAGAGTATTGGCATTTCAGCTTCAGCATCACTTGTTCCAATGAACACTCAGGACTGATCTCCTTTAGGATGGACTGGTTGGATCTCCTTGCAGTCTAAGGGACTCTCAAGAGGCTTCTCCAACACCACAGTTCAAAAGCATCAATTCTTCAGCACTCAGCTTTCTTTATAGTCCAAGCTTCAAATCCATACATGACTACTGGAAAAACCATTGCCTGACTACACAACTTTTGCTGGCAAAGTAATGCCTCTGCTTTTTAATATGCTGTCTAGTTGGTCATAACTTTTCTTCCAAGGAGTAAACGTCTTTTAATTTTGTGGCTGCGGTCATCATCTGCAGTGATTTTGGAGTCCCCAAAAATAAAGTCTGCCACTGTTTCCACTGTTTCTCCATCTATTTCCCATGAAGTGATGGGGCCAGATGCCATGATCTTAGTTTTCTGAATGTTGAGCTTTAAGCCAACTTCTTCAATCTCCTCTTTCAATTTCATCAAGAGGCTCTTTAGTTCTTCTTCATTTTCCTATAAGGGTGATGTCATCTGCATATCTGAAATTATTGACATTTCTCCCAGCAATTTTGATTCCAGCTTGTGCTTCATCCAGCCCAGAGTTTCTCATGATGTACTCTGCATATAAGTCAAATAAGCAGGGTGACAATATACAGCCTTGAAGTCTTACTTTTCCTGTTTGGAAACAGTCTGTTGTTCCATTTCCAGTTCTAACTATTGCTTCCTGACCTGCATACAGGTTTCTCAAGAGGCAGGTCAGGTGGTCTAGTATTCCCATCTCTTTCAGAATTTTTCACAGTTTATTGTGATCCACACAGTCAAAGGCTTTGGCATGGTCAATAAAGCAGAAATAGATATTTTTCTGGAATTCTCTTGCTTTTTCAATGATCCAGCAGATGTTGGCAATTTGATCTCTGATTCCTCTGCCTTTTCTGAAACCAGCTTAAACATCTGGAAGTTCACGGTTCACGTATTGCTGAAGCCTGGCTTGGAGAATTTTGAGCATTACTTTACTAGCATGTTAGATGAGTGCAATTGTGTGGTAGTTTGAACATTCTTTGGCATAGCCTTTTTTGGGATTGGAAAGAAAACTGACCTTTTGCAGTCCTGTGGCCATAGCTGAGTTTTCCAAATTTGCTGGCATATTGAAAGCAAATTTGGCCTTGGAATACAGAATGAAGCAGGGCAAAGGCTAATAGAGTTCTGCCAAGAGAACACACTGGCCATAGCAAACACCCTCTTCCAACAAGTCAAGAGAAGACTCTACACATGGACATCACCAGACAGTCAATACCGAAATCAGATTGATTAACTAGACCATTCAGGTATGACCTAAATCAAAACCCTTACGATGATACATGAAAGTGAGAAATAGATTTAAGGGACTAGATCTGATAGACAGAGTGCCTGATGAACTATGGACGGAAGTTTATGACACTGTACAGGATCAGGGAGCAAGACCATCCTCAAGAAAAATAAATGCAAAAAAGCAACATGGTTGTCTGAGGAAGCCTTACAAATAGCTGTGAAAAGAAGGGAAGCAAAAAGCAAAGGAGAAAAGGAAAGATATACCCATTGGAATGCAGAGTTTCAAAGAATAGCAAGGAGAGATAAGAAAGCCTTCTTCAGTGATCAGTGCAAATAAATAGAGGAAAACAATAGAATGGGAAAGACTAGAGATCTCTTCAAGAAAATTAGAGATACGAAGGGAACATTTCATGCAAAGATGGGCTTGATAAAGGACAGAAATGGTATGGCCCTAACAGTAGCAAAAGATATTAAGAAGAGATGACAAGAATACACAGAAGAACTGTACAAAAAACTCTTCACAACCCAGATAATCACGATGTTGTGATCACTCACCTAGAGCCAGACATTCTGGATGTGAAGTCAAGTGGGCCTTAGGAAGCATCACTACGAACAAAAGTAGTGGAGGTGATGGAATTCCAGTTGAGCTATCTCAAATCCTAAAACATGATGCTGTGAAAGTGCTGCATTCAGTATGTCTATATATAAGTACATGAATTATTGTGATTTGTGTCATTGTGATTTGTTTTAGTTGTTGCCCCACTAGTTTATTGGGCTTCCATAGTGGCTCAGACGGTAATGAACCTGCGTACAATGCAGGTGCCTTGGGTTCCATTCCTGGGTCAGGAAGATCGCCTGGAGAAGGGAATGGCAACCCACTCCAGTATTCGTACCTGGACATTTCCTAGGACAGAGGAGCCAGGCGGGCTACAGTCCATGGGATCACAAAGAATCGGACATGACTGAGTGACTAACATTCCACTAGTTTATGTTTATCTTCTTGGAGTCACAGCTTGTTCATCTTTGTGAATACAAAGTAGATTCTTAACACCTTGTTCAACTAAACAGAATGCATATGAAATGTAACAAAGGTGTGCCCAACTGTTAAAATGTGAAATGACCGGTGTCTGAGACACAAAGATCAGTCATTTCTTTATACTACTTTATTGAGGTAAAATATACATGTGATAAAATGCTCAAATTTGAAGAGATGACGTCTGACAAACCCACGCATTTAGGTAACCACCATACCAATCAAAATGCAGAATATTCCCATTATCTCACATTTCCCTCTGTGCCTCCCTGCAGTCAATCCCACACTCCACTCCAACCTCCAGGAACTACTTATCTGCTTTCTGTCTTATAGATCAGCCTCACCTGACAGTTATGTTTAACTTTTACATTAAAACTGTTTCATTGTTTCAACCTAAATGATCTGAATCTATGTGATAAACTCATATATAGTAACATGAAAGGAAAGCTATTTATGATGTACCAGGGGTTCAGGAGAAGGGACTGGTGAGCAGAGGGGTAAATTTTAGTTGAAAGTGGGAAAGATCATTTTGTACTTCGTAGACATTTAATTCTTGACACCTGTGTTTTTGGATTACTTGTTTTTTACTCATTTTAGACACGAGTCTAACCTGTAGGCAAGATACTGTACTTTTTATTCTTCACTATGGAACCCAGAGTTCCCACAAGGTGCAGACTTAAGCTAGAAACCCAGGCTCTGTCGTTTGGAGCCAAGTTTCCAGCCTACTTCTAAACCCACAGTTCTTTAGGGGAAAGGGTTAGTGAAGGGAGAGAGAAAAAAAAAAAGACGTGTCCTGCGAATTGAGGGTGTAGGAAGGATCCCCTAAGATCTAGGCGGTTCTGGAAGCTCTTTCGGGGGGACGCTCCGCAGACATCTGGAGCGCTTTGGCTTGGAGGTCTGCACCCTGGACGCTGCGCCCCGGCACCGGGCAAAATCCCTCCGGAGACCCCGCGGAGCGCACGGGGTTGGCGGCCCGCGGCCGGGAGGGGGTCAGGGTGGCGAAGGGGCCGGGTCCGGACGTGGCCTGCAGACTCAGCGCTGAACACACGCACTCACACAAAAGAGGCCGGAAAGTGGCGGGAGGAAGCGGCCGCGTCACGCGGGCCATAGCCGGGAGCCTGGCGCGCCCGCCCCGCCGCGGCCCAGGTACTCGGCCCGCTGGTCCCGTCGCTCCGCCCGCGCCTCCGCCACCTCCGCGGCGCCGCCAATGAGACTCCTCCCGCTCCTAGGTAAGTGCCCGTTGCAGGCGGCCAGGGCAGCCCCGACCAGCACCTGTGGGGTGTGGTATTTCCAAGGTGGTACGCACGGGCCAAGTGCACTTCGCCAAGACTCCTGGGAGAACTGAACTAGCCCTTTCCAGGATGTTTTTCGCCTTGGCCTTTCAACGCTGGAGTTCGATATTCAGTACCCAGGGACTAAGTCATCTCTTTGTTCCTGCTGAGCAAGTCCCCAAAGCCCCAGACTTTGACCTTCCTTCGGATTGTCCCTCAAAAAATCTGGAACTTCAAACCATTAACACTTTTGAGAGGTTTCCTGGCCTCGTTTCAAGGGGACTGCTGGCCCAGACTGAGTTTCTTTAAAATCACCATTTTGATGATACTGTGCCGAAAGATAATAAATCACATCTTTGAAGCCAAATTAATTCTGGTTTAGACACTATATACAGCCCTGTGTGAAGCTGGGATTTATAATTGAATGTTTAAGAATCTCTTGTTACCAGATAAGGCCAATTTATCTCGGATGACTGTTTTAAGAATAATGACTTGCATGATTCATAACTGTCCATCTCAAGCGGGCTTGTCTTGAGAAGGACTAGACAACAATAAAAAAAAAAAGGAAGGTCCTACGCTTTTCCTTATCTTTTCCTAACAGCCCACAAAAAACCATTTCCAACTTTGTTTACAAGAATTCTGAAATAAAAGCTTGTACTCTCTTATGCTGCATGTTGTTGGTCATGTTTGAATGGCGTCACATTTCTGGAAGCTCAGTCTTTGACAAGTACATTGAAATTTTTTTTTTTTCCCCCCCTCTAATGGGAGAAAGTATAAAAGAAACTTTATTATGGAAAAGGCAGAATTTTAAAAGATCTTTAGAACACAGGAAAAAAACAAACAAACAAACCATTAATGCATTTGTCTTCCTGGATGGTATCATCTTAAAACAACACAGATTTGACTTTGAAAAGACCCAGATACTCAATTCACCTTGATTTCTTTCTGCACAGAGTCATTCCCAGGGTACGGATAGTGTTTTACAGTCATGCAGCTACCTTTAAACGTATCTCACCTCTGGGTGAAATGTCCAATGATGTTAGAATACTGTTTTCTTTATAGAGCCAGGTCGCTTATTACATTTCAACTTGGTTGAGGTTTACTTGATAAACGTTGAGAATGAAGAAAAGCGTTAATTCCTGCTTGTGTCCTGTTGTTTATCTAAATTCCCCTTTGGGCAATTCTCATAAAGTATTTATCTAGATGGGAAAACAAAAAAAGAAGGGTATTAATGTATATATTGTCTAATTCAACAATGGAAGAAGATTTTTCTTTTTGAAAAGGTGTATTCTCTACTTTCCTTAGTGGGTTTTTCCACTTTACTGAATTGTTGCTGCGCTCAAAACTGTACCAAGACGCCTTGCCACCCAAATGCAAAATGTGAAATTCGGAATGGAGCTGAAGGCTGCTATTGCAACCTTGGATATTCAGGAAATGGTATCACAATTTGTGAAGGTAAACAATGTTTATTACCTCTTTTGTTGTGTATATTAATATTAAGTTCTGATATGACTGCTTTTTTCCTAAGCTAGAAATTAAGTTGCCTTACTTTATACTGCTTGATTTCATGCTATTGGTTTAAAAAAAAAGCTTAATTAACTAAACAATAAATTTTAACTTCGAAGGTCAAAATTTATACTTGATTATGGATTTTTGATGCTTCCATGCATATCTTACTGGGTTGGTTAGAAAGTAGTTCCATAAAATGGCATGGAAAAATCTGAATGAACTCTTGGCCAGCCCAGTAGTTTGGGTAGATTGCCCTTGAACTTAAGCTGGAAAACTCGGTTGCAGAAAGCAGAGTCAATACTTTTAGGAAAAAAGCACAGAGAATTCATGAAGACCAGGCTATATCCATATGTGTTGCATTTAGATACCTTCCTTAGTACTTGAGTATCTAAATTTGAGAATACCCATTAAGAGATTAGAATTTTTTCTCCTGTGTACTCTGGACATATACCCTGGAGAGAGAGAGAGAGAGAAGAAATTTTGAAATATATTCTATTCTGAAATAGTAGATCTCGTTTATAGAACTTTAGGCTAGAGCCCAGAAAAAGAACTCCAGGAAAGTTCCTTCGAGGTTACAATTTAGCCCATTGGCTTGATGAACAGAACACCATCTGATAATCAAACATAAGTGATTTCTTATCTGTGGTCTTCATCATTACCATGCCTCTTCTTTCCTCAGTCTTTACTCAATCTTTATTCTGTCTTTCATTTTTAGTAGAATCTAGTTTAACTAGGTCAATAGGGCAAAATTCTCTGTAGGAGAAAGCAAGAAGAAAAACAAGTTCCAAGTTAGATAAATTAGTTTTAAGATATAATTAAATGGCAAGTTCAAATTAGAACTTTGTGGTATTACACTCCTAAATGTATTTAAGATAACATGAACTTTTTCTGATTAAGCCAGCATATTATACATTGCATAAACAAGTTGTGTCTTATGATTCAATTTGATAGGCTTTAAAAAAATTAAATATGCAGTATATAGTAAGGCCAGACCTCATCATAATTAGTTTAATGTTTAAAAAATGTGGAGCAAAGCTACAGTTGCTTAATGGTGCATTAGATTAGGCATTTCTGCTTGTATATACAGCCAGGATTTGTAATTTACTATTATACAAGCACTACAAAACTCTTTCCATAAATAATCTTGAATTTTTATTGTGTATTTAATTGGATGGCATTATGGGAAGTTGATAGTTGAGTGACCTTCAAAATATGGCATCAGACGTATTAGTGTGTTTTTCCACTAATCATTGCAAATTGTACCAGAGTACTTTATAAGCAGTGTTGCCTTTTTGTTATTTAGATACTTTTCAACTATCATGATTACCATCATTAACGTCAGTAATTTTTCACAATTTGAACCCTCATCAGTCAGCCAGTTCATAGTCATGTTTTTAATGATTTCTTTTGAAAACACATCTTCCATTATCCAATGCAATTGTTTTTTCCCCCTGCAGTTTAGTCAGTAGCCAGCTGAAGTGCAGAAAATATTTCCATTGAAAAATAAAAATATTTCAAGACCTTTGGCCCTGCACTTCATTTTTAAACAGAACACAGTTTTTAATGGGAATTTTTTTATTTTAAAATTCTTCTTAAATTCCCTTCTTATTTAAAGAATGATACATATTCACTTGTGTTGATATTCACTATTTGAGGTTTATAATATCCTCTCAAATTGTTCAATCAGTGATTTTCATCTTTTTCACCTTTATTCACTAATTATTTATTTAATGAGTAATTAAAATTTATTAATTAATTTTATTAACTACTTTTTTCAGTAAATACATTTACTCTGATTCTTGGAATTAAGACATTTCTAACTTCTGAATCATCTAGGTTGTATTTTCGGCATGAATAATCGTGTTGCCTTTTTCTCATCTCTAAAGAACTTCTCATCTTTCCTTATTTTTCTCTAAGATTGTTAGTAGACCACTATGAAATCATTGGACAGAATTTTTGTTACAGAGGATGCTTACATTTTGAGCAATGAAAATTGTTGTTTTTTGGCATTATAAATATCATCTTCATTCCCTAATAGCTCAGTTGGTAAAGAATCTGCCTGCAATGCAGGAGACCCCAGTTTGATTCCTAGGGTGGGAAGATCCCATGGAGAAGGGACAGGCTACCCACTCCAGTATTCTTGGACTTCCCTTGTGGCTCAGTTGGTAAAGAATCTGCCTGCAATACGGGAGACCTGGGTTGGATCCCTGTGTTGGAAAGATCCCCTGGAGAAGGGAAAGGCTACCCACTCCAGTTTTCTGGCCTGGAGAATTCCATGGTTTGTATAGTCCATGAGATCACAAAGAATCGGACACAACTGATTTTCACTTTCATTATCTTCATAAAATTTGTCTTCCTCAAAGACCTCCCAAATAAATATCATGATAATAACCCAATACTAAATGTATTCTGTTCCAAAAGCTAGTGTTGAATAAGTTATTTAGACTTTGGATTACACAGTCCCATGAAACAAGTTTTAATAGTAGTGATTTTATCTCATTAATTATCTTTTTATTAAACAAGTACTTATTATGTTCATCATTATTATCATTATCACCATCATCAGCAGGATAGTTAATATCTACTGTGCACTTAGTCCAATATATTAATTAGCATAACACCTTCATCCATTATTATTCCCATTTTATCTATAAGAAAATAGTCTTAAGAAGGTTAAGTGAAAGTCTGAAGTGACACAGCAAATAAGTAGAGAAGCCAAGATTTGAACCCAAGTCTGTCTCATTCCAGTGCCTGTATTATTACTCACTGTATTTGACCATAAGGCCTCTGCTTATCAGATACTGCTATGCCCTTAGGTTAAAATTATAAATAGGAAATTGACCTTGATTTCTAGTATATCTGAGGTCAGTCACAGAATTATATTAATAATTTGACACAATGTTATAATAGGTATTGCTGCTAAGTCACTTCAATCGTGTCCGACTCTGTGCGACCCCAGAGACGGCAGCCCACCAGGCTCCTGCGTCCCTGGGATTCTCCAGGCAAGAACACTGGAGTGGGTTGCCATTTCCTTCTCCAATGCAAGAAAGTGAAAAGTGAAAGTGAAGTCGCTCAGTCTTGTCTGACTCTTAGCGACCCCATGGACTGCAGCCTACCAGGCTCCTCCATCCATGGGATTTTCCAGGCAAGAGGACTGGAGTGGGGTGCCATTGCCTTCTCCAATAAGAAGTATTAGAAGAGGTAAATTTGAAATGGATAATCAGCTGCAAGGAACTTTGCGAGTGGAGGTGACATTTACGCTCAGAGTTGAGAATAAATTTGTTTTATTAAGATAAACTTATAAAGATCTTTAATAAGATTGACTTTTTAAGGTGAGCTTCCATGGTGGCTCAGTGATAAAGAATCTGCCTGCAATGCAGGAGGCCCAAGTTCGATCCCTGGGTCGGGAAGATCTGGAGAAGGAAATGGCAACCCATTCCAGTATTCTTGCCTGGGGAATTCCATGGACAGAGGAGCCTGGTTAGCTCCAGTCCATAGGGTCACAGGGAGTAGGACACGACCGAGCGACTAACATACACATTAAGATCAACAAAGCGACAAAGAGAAGTCAGGCAAAAGGAGTCAGCAATAACAAAGGCCTAGAAGTTGAACATGTGTTTTGTTTGCTTGTTTGTTTGTTTTAAGGTGCTCCAATTATTTCATTCTGACTATATATCACAATATATATTAGTTGAGGGATCAGTGCAAATTAAGTCAAGATGTCAAAGGTATGGACTTTGTTCTGTTCACCAAAAAAGAAACTTTCATAGATATTAAGTAGCTGAATTACAATGATAAGACTGCTGATATTAGAAAGATGACTCCCTTAGGTAGAGTAAGAATGGATTAGTGAGGGTCAACCCACAAAAGGCCATTTACCCAACCTGTAAAACCAATAATCGTTTATATTTGTACAGTTCATTATAATTTATACTGCCTCTACCCAGTGTATCTTTAATTCTTATATAAAGCTTTTGAAACATAAACTACAGATGCTGTCTTTTACTGACAAACAGCAATATAACCGGGTATAGCTATTAATAGCTTCTGTGGAGCTCCATGCTACAGCCTTCACATATGAGAGAAGTAGGACTCCAGAAATTTAAGTGAGTTTTCCAGGATCCCAAGGCTAATATGGTAAACCTCGGACTCAAACCCTGGAATCTCAGCCTTCTCTAGATTACCAAAAATGTCAGTGTATTACCAGTCACCTGACATTACCTGGGTAGTACAGATTTTTAAATCAAATTGTTAGAACAGTATCATTTTAGCAAGAGTTTATTTATTACCACTTTATTGAAATATTAATGATTTAGTTACACACTTATCTTTATGCTGACATCTAAGTACATTTTAAGATAGGGGGTGAAAAAGATTGTGTAGAAGGTTTGGGGTACATTTAAAGGCTATTGAAATTGTTAATATTTAACTCTAAAATGTAGGTGATTCTTTAAATATATATTACTATTACTATTCCTTATGGTTCTCAGTACATTTTTGGTTACCTTCTAGTGCACAGTAGTTTACAAATATAGGAAGTTAAAGATCCCTCCTCTCCCAGGTAATTATGTTATAAAAGGGAAGAAGGTAGGAATGGCTGAAATAATCTTTGGGTACATCTAAAGTACTATTGCTTGAGTTGGAATAAACTGAGCTATGAGAAGCAAGAAGCAGGAGCTAGGTGGAGGATGCAGTTCAGTGCATGTTTGGGTGAGAGGATGGGGTGGGGTAAGAAAATAATCTCTACTGTCATATCAGCTCACTAAGAGGGGCAATATTTTTGGAAGTTTCATGTAGTCAGAATGGGTAGGAGGAAAACACTTGCCCCAGGTAGGAAGAGGAAGGGTCAGGAAGGATGTAATTGACTGCTTGTATGCATGCATAAAATTTTTTCACAGCTCGAGACATGCCATTATGAACCACATCACAGGCACTTTACAGAAAAT